GATCGTGTTGGTACAGCACTCTCCTTTGGCTGATTGTCATGGGTTGATCGTGTTGGTACAGCACTCTCCTTTGGCTGATTGTCATGGGATGATCGTGTTGGTACAGCACTCTCCTTTGGCTGGTTGTCATGGGTTGATCGTGTTGGTACAGCACTCTCCTTTGGCTGGTTGTCATGGGTTGATCATGTTGGCACAGCACTCTCCTTTGGCTGGTTGTCATGGGTTGATCATGTTGGTACAGCACTCTCCTTTGGCTGGTTGTCATGGGTTGATCATGTTGGTACAACACTCTCCTTTGGCTGGTTGTCCTGTGCAGAAGGGGGATGCTACCACCCAGGGTGAGTCGAAGACCCTTGTTGTCTGAACAGGGGATCTGCTTCTTGGCTGGCCAGGCTGTCAACTGTTGGCACAGCAGCTTTCTAAGAGAAAAGAAATAAGTTAGCTGGAGTTACTAAATTTGAGCAACGACAAGTACGTAGATGCAATAGTGGGCAATTATAAAATATGACTACAAAGAAAAAGAAAAAGTAAGTGTTTTAAGGCGCTCGCAACTGCATAAGGTCATATGAGCACACGGTACATATTAAACTTTTTCAGTTGGTAGGAAATTTTGTTGCCAGAGTGGCGGCCGAAGCTTACTCTTATCGATTTTAGACCACCAAGGGATCTTTAACGAGCGCAACTTGCACACAGGCCCTCCAAGATTTTTCGCCATTGTCCGAGAAGGCTAGGAGTAGATCTTTCTTACCAGAAGATCAGGGGCGTGGCTGAAAGACGGTATTAAGAAAGAGCCAAAGAATAGCAGTAGAAATGCAGCAGAAAGAGTCAGGAGCCCAGAGGAGGGGGCAAAGGAGGTGAGGGGGTGAAGAAGGACCTGACATTGGCACCCTCAACCCACCCAAATAAGATGTCTACTGAGACAATTGTTCATGCATGCAGATCTTCCAAATAACCGTCTTTCTCAGTACTAATTAAAAGTACAGAACAACATTTATAAAAATCTGTAAAAATGTTTCATCATTTTCCCTTTTCACCTAAATGCAAAAATAAAACTTCAACATTGAAATCAGACTCACCAATAGGTATTTTTTAAATTTTACAGTAATAATTAACAAATAATGTTTCAAGACATATTTCACAGACAAATACAGGTCTGCAGGTTGTCCCGGTGAGGAAGACGAGTCGATTAAGGAAATCCTATGCCATCTATGTAACTTTCTTTCAGTTTTAGAGAATAAAAATCTGTCAGTAATTCTTAAAAAATTTTCTTCCCTTTTTTCAATTCTACTATATTATACATCTCATGCAAAGATATGTTCTTTTCTATCTAGACCTTTACAAAAACTAGGATCTTTCAGGAGTCAATAAAATTAAAAAGGACATTATGTTGGAGTATCTAAAATATTTAATATACTTGTCTTTAAATACGACGCCTTCAATTAAAAAGCCAGTTTAACGTTGGTCTAAAGTTAGTAAATACCTTTTATCTTTTTTCCTTCTCACCTAAAAACAAAAATTAAAACTTTTCCATTGAAGTCAGACACTCCCAGGTCAGACACTCCCAGGTATTTTCAAAAACTTATTGAAATAATAAACAAACTATGTTTCAAGACACACTTAACAGATAAATACCTCCTGTCGATGGTCCGGACGTGGTATTCCTTGTGTAGTCGTCCCGATCATCCTCCGCTGGGTCCTGGTGATGAAGACATGTGTCAATTAGGAATATCCTCTTCCATCTGTTCAGTTTTTATGTTTCAGAAAATCAAAAGAGTTGTTATAACATTGTTTACTGTTGGTTTAAAAGATCAAAAGGAATTTAGAAAAATCTGTCCGTAAATACAATTCATCATATTCCGTTTTCACCTAAATTGAAAAAAAAAAAGACTTTTACATTGAGCTCATGTCCATGAATAGGTATTTTTCTAATTTAATTGAACTAATGGACAAATGGTTTTCCACGACATATGTATCATGACTCAGTGGAATCCGGAGCTTGTCAATTTTTTGGGAATATGGAGTTATTGCAATCATTTTAAAGGTTTTTCATTTGCCTTGCTTTCAATGAAAAAATATCCATTTATCTTTAGAAGAAGTCGAGATATTTGCAATTGAAAGAGGTGGAGTCACCTGTTTTCAGAAGTTCAGAAGTAACAGTAGCGACAAAATGACCACTAAAGATTTAGAGTTATTGGAAACTGCAAATTTACATTTCTAGTGTCTCTAATCAACGTTTTCCGTAAAATACACACATAAAAGTGTTTTTGAATGAACATGCAAAGGTGATAAGCCCAAAAACAAAAATAAAGATCCAGTCTGGCCAAAAATTGCAGATTTCTCAGATTTAATTATTTTGACGAGCGCTTGATCTCACTACAATGCCTCACATATTACTTCACAGACAAATACATCCTGTCGATGGTCCGGCAGGGCTTTCCCTGGTATTTCACGACAGCATGATTTCACCACAATGCCTCACATATATATATATATATATATATATATATATATCGCTAAAAATCTCGATTTCGTTTTGACTAGACTTAAAAAATCAAGGAGCATTATTTCTGAAAATAATTGTCGGGAATATCTAAAATATTTAAAGCACACTTTGAGTGAGCAATTTTAAAGGACATTAAAAAGCAAATTACCTTCTGAGGAGGATTGACATGCATCTTAAGCGATCCTCGGGTTGGAAGTCCTTCTTCCGGTCTTGACGATCACTTGAGCAGCATACCCGTAGAAGTAACCCAAGGCAGAGAATGTCGTGAGTGGCCGGAGGGGGCAGCCAAAGCCGAGGGTGGAGATGCTGATAGAGGGGACAGTGAGAGGGGAGACGAGGCGTCTTCGCGGATGGTTCGATGCATTGTGGGGTCAAGTCCTGATGGGCTTTCGGCGGCCATGATGGCGGGGTCATGCAGAGAGAGCAGTTAGGTGCCACCAGTAACCACCTCTAGCATGTGCATGGAGATGAGAGCTGTCACAAAAGCCTCTGACTGGAAAAGGGCCATGGAATGTCCGACTGCCATCTTAGTCATTGACCCAATGAGTGCCCTCGAGCAGGTAAAGAGACCCATCCTGTGTGCAGACTGGCTAGATTTGACGCAAAGCAGCGACTCGCAGGGGCTGAATGGATCTTGAGCAATGGTCAATAAGGAGTTTGAGGCAATGAACGTGCTGATTAGCTTGCCGGCCAGCTCATCAGCACGTTCATTTTTGCCTCAAAGTCCTACATGACCAGGGCTCGGGATCCATGCTGCCTTTGTGAGTCTGCTGCTTGGCATCACCTCTAACCAGTCTGCATACAGCATGGGTTTCTTCACCTTTTCGAGGGTGCTCATCGAGTCGGTGACAGGGATGGCAGTGTGACACTCCGTCGCCTAAATCCAGTTTGGGGCTTCTGTGGTGGCTTTCAATATATGCACGTGCTGGGCGTGGCCTGGTGGCACTAAACTGCTTTCTCTGTGTGACTCCGTTTACACGGCCGCAGAGGGCCCATCAGGATTTAACCCCACGCCGCACTGACCCATCTGTGAAGACGCTTTGTCGCCCTTCTCACGTTCTCCTCTGTCGGCGTAACTACCTGGGCGTTGGTTACCCCTCTAGACAGTAACGATATCACTCGCCGAGGGCTGCTTCCAGTGGACTATACCGCCCAAGTGTGTCGGTGACGCTGACCCATTCGCTGGCCTTGGGGACATCTTCCTTGCCGATCATCCACATCAGGGAGAAAGGTTTAAATGTCATAATTACACTTATAATTTAATACAAGAGCTGTGTTGGTAAATGAGAAAAGTGTATTTTTGAAAATTATACTTACAATTAAAAGTCACAGGCTATCACATTTTTTAGAAAGGCCTTAATGCAAAAAATCAGAATTATAATTAAAAGCCAGAGCCACAGATGCAAATATTTGTAGTTTTCTAGTCACAACATAGGAAAAAAAGTTTTTAAAATTGAGACTCAATATTGAGGAGGAGATCAAGAACACATATTGCAAAGAGAAATACCTTTTGGGCAGATCATCTCTCATGACTCATCATTATAATATTGTTGACTGTTGCTTGAAAAAGTCATAAAGACATTTAGAAAAATCTGTAAGTAAATACGTTTAACCATTCTTTTCCTAAAAACAAAAATTAAACTTTTAAATTGAAGTCAGATACACCCAGGTATTTTCCAAAACTTATTGAAATATTTTTTTTTTTATGTTTCAAGACAAACTTCACAGACAATAAATACCTCGTGACGATGGTCCGGCCGTGGTATTTCTCGGGTATTCGTCCCGATCATCCTCAGTTCCAGCGGAGGGGTCCTGGTGATGAGGACATGTGTCAATTAGGAATATCCTCTTCCATCTGTACAGTTTGGGTTTTTTTGTTTCAGAAAATAAAATGAGTCATTATTACATAGTTTACGGTTGGTTTAAAAGGTCAAAAGGACATTTAGATAAATCTGTCCCTAAATACAATTGATCATTTTCTGTTTTCACCTAAATTGAAAATAAAAGACTTTTACATTGAACTCAGGTCCTTTGATAGGTATTTTTCTAATTTTATTGAACTAATGGTCAAATGGTTTTCCACGACATATGTATCACGACTCAGTGGAATCCGGAGCTCGTCAATTTTTGGGCATATGGACTTATTGGGATCATTTTACAGGTTTTTCATGTGCCTTGCTTTCAATGCATAAATATCCATTTATCATGAAAAGAAGTTGAGATATTTGCGATTGAAGGAGGTGGAATCGCCCGGTTTCAGAAGTAACAGTAGAGGGGAAATGACCGTCAAATTTTACAGTTCTTGAAAACTGCAAATGTATATTTCTTGTGCCTCTAATAAAAGTGTTTTTGAATGGACATACAAAGGTGATGAGCCAAAAAAATTTTATTAGATCCTAACTGGCTGAAAAATGTCCATTTCTCAAATTTCATTATTTTGAGGAGCACCTGATCATACCACGATACATCACATATTACTTCTCAGACAAATACCTCCTGCCGATGGTCCGGCGTGGTACTCCTTGGTAGTCGTCCGTATCATCCTCCACTTCAGCAGAGGGGTCCTGGTGATGAAGACATGAGTCAATTAGGAATATCCTCTTCCATCTGCACAGTTTCTTATTTTGTTTCAGAAAATAAAAAGTCGTTATAAAATTGTTTACAGTCGGTTTAAAAAGACAAAAGGATAATCATAAAATCTGTCTGTAAATACGTTTAAAGATTTTCCTTCTGCTAGAAGCAAAAATTAAACTTCTACATTGATGTCAGACACACTCAGGTAATTTCCAAAACTTACTGAAATAATAAACAAATTATGTTTCAAGACACACTTCACGCACAAATACCTCCTGCCGATGGTCAGGCCGTGGTATTCCTTGGGTAGTCCTCCCGATCATCCTCGGCTGGGTCCTGGTGATGAAGACATGTGTTAATTAGGAATATCCTCTTCCATTTGTACAGTTGTTTTGGGGTTTTTTTGTTTCAGAAAATCAAAAGAGTCTTTATAACATTGTTTACGGTTGGTTTAAAAGATCAAAAGGAATTTGGAAAAATCTGTCCGTAAATACAATCCATCATTTTCCGTTTTAACCAAAATTGAAAAAAAAGACTTTTATATTGAACTCATGTCCGTGGATAGGTATTTTTCTAATTTTATTGAACTAACGGACAAATGGTTTTCCGCGACATATGTATCACGACTCAGTGGAATCCGGCGCTCGTCAACTTTTGAGCATATAGAGTTATTGGAATCATTTTAAAGGTTTTTCATTTGCCTTGCTTTCGATTTTTTTTTAAATCCATTTATCTTGAGAAGAAGTCGAAATATTTGCGATTGAAGGAGGTGGAGTCGCCTGGTTTTAGAAGTAACAGTAGCGGGAAAATGACCACCTTAAGATTTAGAGTTCTTGGAAACAGCAAATTTACTTTTTTTTGTGGCCTTAATCAATGTATTTTCATAAAATACACACATAAAGGTGTTTTTGAATGGGCATACAAAGATAATAAGCAAAAAAAAAAAAAACGAATTCCAATCTGGCCGAAAAATGACGATTTCTCGGATTTCATTATTATGACGAGCGCCGGATCTCACCCCGATTCATCGAGCATCACATATTACTTCACAGACAAATACCTCCTGCCGATGGTCCGGCCGTGGTATCCCTGGTGTCGTATACACAGCACTTCAGCAGACCACCCGCTGTTAGCTTCTCATGTGGGTGCTGGCTTTCTGAGAAAAATAATTAACAAGCTTAGCTAGTTTGTAAACTTTTTTTGAGTATGAGTAAAGAGAAGTGCATCAATGGAATAATGATTATTAAATGTAGGGGAAAATAGACAAGACAGACACAAACAACAGGGGTAAGGAAAAGAGAAGGCCCTGCCAGTGGCACCCGCCACCCACCGACAATGACAAATAGCAATATATTGGTTTTTGGAATGAGTATGTATTCTATATTGAAATAGAGATAATAAGTCAATGGAATTGCCACACACAGAATGTTCAAACATTGGCCTGTCTTACTACATGCAGGGCTATTCCCGGTAACTGACAGGACATTTGACCAATACTTTCTTACAGGGCCAGCTTTTTAGAGACACCTTAATACAAACATGAAATTCCAAGTTGAACCAATGGGTATTCTTTTGATATTAAAGTAATAATGAGTTAAATGATGTCCTTACAGAAGACTTCAGTCTCAGTGAGCAGAGGAAGGAGGGGGGGGGGA